CCGGCGCCCCTGGCCACGAAGCAGCCAGCACGTGGCCGTGCGCCCGGCGGGCCTTACCTTTCAGGCGCCCCGACGTGGCCTTCCAGCACAGCGGGCCCTGGAAGCGCAGCTGCCGCTGCAGCAGCTCCTCCTTGCGGAAGACGAGCCCGTTCTTGAGCCTGCTGGAGGCCTTGGGGTCCATCCTGGCCGCGATCTCCTTGAGGCGCTGCTCCTGCTCGCACTCGCTGACCCGGGCGTCCACTTGCGAGATGATGTCTTTGATGAGGCCCAGCGCCTGGGTCAGGTCTCTGTGGTCCTCGGAGCCGGCTGCCACACAGCAGGGTGCGCGCTCGCCTCAGCCCCACTCGTGGCCACGCGCGGGGAGGCCACGGCTCGGCCCACCCCGGGCGCCGCCTCACTGGAGCCCCTGAGATTTAGGCGCTCTTCCAAGGCCCATGCCACAGCCCACTGTGCTTTCTGCCGGGGTGGCACTGCCGGGCACAGAGGCCGTGGCCCCGGGCTGGGGCCGGGCTTCCCCGGCAGGGCACTGCTCTGACTCCCAGGCCAAGGCGCGGAGGGTGGGAGGCGTGGCCGGCGCTGCCTGCCTCCCCTGCCGCGGCCCAGCACAGCCTGGCCACGTGACAGGGAGGTGGGTCCCCGCCGGCCGTCCGGACGCCAGGTCAAGGACCTCGTCTGATCCCGACTGCTGGGCTGGGACGACAGCCAGAGAGCTCCGGCACTGGAAGCCGGCACCCAGCACGCACCCACCCGGCAGCCGCACCGGGGCCGGGGCACCCGCTGATTCGGGGGTGCGAGGGGAGCCCCCAGCCCTCACCTTCTGAGTTCTGGATGATGCGCCCCACCAGCACGGGGTACTTGGTGATGCGCTGCGTGACCAGGAGGATGCACTCCTGCACGCCCAGCCGCCGCACGACGGACGAGTGGCCGATTTTCTGGGAAATGGAGAACAAGACCCTGTCGCACTGCGCCTCGGGCCTGCCGCGCCGGCGGGTGCCGCCTCTGTTGGCTCCCTGGGTCTTTCCTGTGCCGCTGTGGTGGGTCCGTGGAAGCAGGATCCCCCACTGCAGAGCGGAGCCGCCACGCCGCCTCACCTGTCCTGAGCAGCGGCCGTGCGAAGCCCTGGGGACGGCCGCCGGACGGCTCCCTGGGGCGCTCCTCTGGCTCAGAGCCCAGGAAGGGGTCCCCTATTTCTTGTGGGGCCAAGGGCAGCTTTGTTCTCCATTCTGCTGTCCTGTTTCCCCTCCCCAGCCCCGGCTGCCGTGTTTCAGGGACGCTGGCCACAGCTGCTGCCCGGGAAGGCCGGGGGCCACCCACAGGGACCTGCGAGGTCCAGGGACAAGCTCTGGCTCTGTTTCCTCCTCGCTCACTGAAATCCATCTGGGTGTTCTAGGCTTGCGATGCCGGGGCTGTGTCAGGCTCGCGATCAGGTGAAGCCTTGCCCGCCTCCACGGGTGGTCACGGAGCAGGACCGAAGGGGGCGCAGCCTTAGCTCCCACCCTCTGCCGGACCCCCTGAGAGGAGCCCCGGGGCGCGGGCAGCAGGCGGCGACCGGGGGCATCTCTGGCGCTGGCCTCCCGGCCCTGGATGTGGGGGACGCGGCGCCTCGCAGGAGCACAGGCCCCGGGGACCGCGGGGTCGGACCGCCTGTCTGCTGTCTCGGGCTCTCCGGACTGTCACTGGCGGCCACGACAAAACAGGACTCAAAGCCTCTGGCCTGTGACAGGTGTCTGCACCCCAAGAGCCCCAAAGGCTTATAGTTCTCTGGGAAAACCCCCCTGCAGAGAGGACACGCTCCGGCTAAAACAGAGAAGCATTTTCACCTTGATCAGGCTGTGGAACTTCTTGTTCTGCTGCAGCAGCAGCTTGTAGTGGTTGACGGCTTCGTTGTGGCCGCTGCAGAAGATGCTGTATTTTTCTTTCATCTTCTCTCCATTTTCACCTGAAAACTGAAGGAAAAGAAAAGAAATGTCGCTGCCGTTAAACACAGAGAAGCCCCAGGGAGCCGCCGGAGATCTCCGTCGTGCGCTCCCTAGCAAATGCCTCGGGGCGCTAGGGCCACCCCAGGACGGGCGCGGCCTCCCCCAGGCCCAAAGAGGCGCGGTCAGCCGCAGCCAGGGGCACTCGGGTCAGACCCACTCCGCCGACCCGCGACGCTCTGGGCCCCTCTCGGCCCAGCCTCAGGTGCTGACCCGGAGCTCCACGCAGGGTCCAGACGTGTGGCCGGGACGCGCCCGCGGCCAGAAACCCACAGGCCAAAGCACAGAAAGCCACCAAGAGCCGGGGGGCGGGGCGCGCCCACCTGCTGCAGCAGGAGGTCCCCCACTCTCTGGATGGTGTAGTTCCGGTCGCTGCCCTCCGCCAGGGCCTCCCGGCGGCGCTCCTTCAGCTGGGCCAGGAAGCGGCTGTGCAGCGCCAGCAGGTCGTCGGCGCCGGGGAAGAGCAGGTCCACGCTCCGCCTGCTGAAGGCCAGCTCCTCCTGCAGCGCCCGGGAGTACACCTTCAGCATGATCTTGAGAGTCCGCACGTGGTGCGCCTCCGTCTGCATCAGCTCTG